TAACATGATTAATTTCAGATTACCACATAATTTAATGTCTTAAAGTAACTTACAATCACATCATTATTCATTAAGCATTGTTCAATGTTTTTAGAAAAAGCCAAATGTGGATTCATAGCTTCACTCATTGAAACAATATCATCACCTAAAGGATTAACACAATTATTTATTAACATTTTTAATTTACGAGGAATCGAAGGTTTTTGGTAAAATGCATCCATGTAGCATTTTGCCATTTTCAAAACATCACGTCCCTTGATTTTCACGTTGTAAACTATTTAAAAGATATAATTATTATTAAAAAATTTTATTAATTGAATTATGTTAATTCGTGATTAACCCAGAAGGTTAAAACCCAAAAGTTTGCCATTTTCAAAACATTAATTCCGTAAATTTCCGATTTGGAAAAATCGGAAAACGCTAAAAACGATAATTAAATAAGACCTTTTTTCTTTAATTTTTATTAATTATGGAAGAAATTTCTGTTATTTTAAAAAATTACCTTCTTGAAGATTGGCAAAAATAAGAAGAAATATTAAAATAAACATTTCAACTAAAAAATTTAGTTTAAAATTTAATTTTAATTTAATTTAGCTTTAATTCTTATGGCTTTTTTGTATTTTAATTAACGACTACACTGACAGTCGTTAATTTCATTAGGCATTTATATATATATGATTGTCTAAAATTGACAAAATTTTTTATATAATTCTCCTTTAAAAAATGTATCCTATGCCCTTTTGAAATAAATGACCTTATAAATACAATTTATAAAATACAAAAAATATTAAAATTTACAAACTACAAATTTAAAAAATATAAATCAATGCTATATTATATATTTAATTTAAATTAAAATATATAAAATTAAAATTAACGGTAATCGGCTGACTGCGACTGACTGAATAAAACAGACAAACAATCATCCATTAATGTAAAAAAAGTTGCAACAAAAGATTTTTTGAACGACCTCTAATGTCGAAACCTTAAGGGTGCTCATAATTATCTGACAGTCGTTTTTAGGAAATACGATTTATAACCCCCTTCTACCCATAAATAATTTATATCTGATTGTTTTTTCTTTCGAATATGAATTAGAAATCCATAAAAAATTTTAAAATTATTTTACTTTTTAAAGTTTTTTACGTAAAAACTAAGGGGTGCTTATAATTTTCTGACAGAGTGTAAAATGGTTATCCGCTAAAAAATTTTAGAACCGGTTTTCAAGATCCTGAATAATTGCCGCTCTTAAGGAGTTTAAGACAGGCATTAAGACGCTTGCGTGATTTACATGGAGTAGTATTTATTTTTGAAAATAAATGTTTAATAAATTTATTTTTATGGTTTTGCTTAAAAATTTTTATTTAAAAAATATAAAATGAATGTCTCTATTCATTTTTTTCAATTTAAAGGAGGGAATCAAGTTAAGAAAAACGCAGGCATTAAGAAGCTGGCGTGATTTCCGCCAAACACATATTGCAAATAATAATAATTTATTTTTATGGTTTAGTTCAATAAACTAAAATTCCTCTCTATTTATTACAAAATTTAAGACTAGAGACACTATAATATTTCCACGTCTAGTTAAAAATTAAATAAAGTTTTTGCGGGCTTATTATATTTATTAAGCTCGCAAAAGGGTTTACGGAATTTTGGTCACTGGAATTTTGGTCACCACGATTTTTCGGAACTTTAGTCACCAATTTTTTGGAATTTTGGTCACCAGTTGAATTTTGGTCACCAAATCAAAAAACGGAATATTAGGCACCGAATTTTGGTCACCACTAGGAATTTTGGTCACCAAATCAAAAAACGGAATATTGGGCACCGAATTTTGGTCACCAATAGGAATTTTGTCACCAAATGGAAAAAAATAATCTTACCTAAAACTAATATCAAAGTGATAAAAAATGATTTTCAACCCCCATTTGATCAATTTCAATGTTGATCACTCTCACAGTTAATTAATCATCCGGGAGAGTGATCGAGAGTGATCAACTGAGAGAGTGATCAGTCGGAAGAATGTCAAACATTGAAATTGATCAAATGGGGGTTGAAAAATCATTTTTTATCACTTTGATATTAGTTTTAGTTTTAGGTAAGATTATTTTTTCCATTTGGTGACCAAAATTCCTAGTGGTGACCAAAATTCAGTGCCCAATATTCCGTTTTTTGACTTGGTGACCAAAATTCCGCTGGTGACCAAATTTCCAAAATAATTGATGACCAAAGTTCGAAAAATCGTGGTGACCAAAATTCCGGCACCCCGCAAAAGACTCCTGTGCACAAAGACACTTTTTCTTGCATTTTTCCTGCAAAGAATGGCTCCCATTTTTCATTAATGTATGGTATGCCCCTCATAATCCCCCTGTATATTATTGCAATTTAATTTTAAATTGATAATTAATTGTAAATCTAAAAACCTATGAAATTTCTAAGAAGTTTTTCTATATGTCTGTTCTTCCCCTAATGTATACAATATTGGTCAAGAGCAGCGTTAGCTATCCGTCTTGGATTTTTAAGAGAGTAGCTTTTAACTACATGAACAGTCTTAAAGCATCTTTAGCTACATCCATCAAATTTTTAAATAAACATCCTCGTAAGTGATTTCCCTCACTAGTCTCCCTCCCCCACATAGACTCATTCCTCTAGAAATTTCAAGCAAACTCCCTTGTCAACATCTAATTTAATAACTTGAGGGAAATTAAGATGAGGAGAAGAGAGGAGTTGAATGAAGCAAAATAGCTTTTTGCAGAATGTCTTTTGCGGACATATGGATTGCGAGCTGGACATTTACCTATCTAATGTGTCGCTGAGCCGAACCCTTACCCTAGTTTCTAATGTTACTTTGTCATAGACCTATTAAAAATTAACCCAACTACTGCCATCCTCTTAACAGATAACTTATACACCTATAATAGTCTAATAGGCGGGTTCAGTTGCAGAATACGCAAACACTATTGGAGAACGTAGACGGTTATATTTGCCTTTATTTACTGACGGCGGCCTTTAAATTTGAAAATATTTAAAAAATTTTATTAAAAAAATTTATTATTTAAAAAATTTAAAAAGTTAAAATGAATCCCTCTGTTAATTTTTTCCAACTTAAATGAAGGGCTTAATGCAGGAAGTAAATTCGATTGACGTCAAATATAACAATAGCCATTGTCTTTAATACATTTTGGATTAATTTAATACATTTTTAACTAATTTAATACACTTTAAATTAAATTAATTCATTTTAAATCAATCCATATAATCATTTTAATTAAACAATTTTGAACCTGTTTATCTTGGCTCAGAATCAAAATCTCGAGCTGATTTTGGCGTAATTCGACTAAACTCGAAGAGCTCATTCGAATAAGCTCTCATTCAACAAATTGAATTTTTCACACCAAAATTGCTCTTATTCCTCCCCTATGTTTTTTCGATTTTCGGTGACCTATATCTCGGTCCACAGACATCTCCAGAAAGAAAGAGTGGTTCCGTTTGACTCAGCTCGTCGATTCGGCCCTAGTCCCTCCCCCTCCCCATCGCTGGGACCGATTCCTCCTCTTTGGGTCACTTCGGCCTTCGGTCCTCGTCTTTCCCCTCTTCACATCTTTGGAACCGATTCTTCCAATTTGTGTCACTTCGTTAGACGGGATCAGCTAGACGAGCTCTTTCAAATGAGCTATAATTTGTATATTCGAATTTTTGACCCCAAAATCAGCTTGGTCAACCTGTGGTCTTTCAACTCTCAGGTGTCAGTAATTCGGTCTGACTGTCGAATCAACTTCCTCTACACCTAGTTTGACTCAGTTTTCAGGTCTTTCGAATGACACTTTATTTGTCCAAATCAATCCAAATTTAAAAAAATAACATCAGATTTTTTAAAATTTTATTCGATTTTATTTTTAAAAGTGTAAAAAAATATTACAAACAAAAAATATTATTTAAAATGTTTATTTCATGTTTTTTATAACTTATTTAATAAGAAAATATTAATTAACCATGGCAAGGTTCGAACCCGCTACCCAATTTTAAACGATTACTCCACCCTTCTCTTTTTCAAACTTCAGAGGTCTATAACTCGGTCCCTGATTGTCGGACCGACTTCCCCCATATCTAGTTCGACTCAGTTTTCGAAGCTCTTTCGAATGACACCTCATTTGTCTAAATTGGTCCAGCCAAAAAAACCCACTATAAGTCACAACATTCCGATTTTGTAGTCACGCTATTATCCACATAACCAACATTTAAATTCCGCTTTGTCTCTTTTGCCTGAGCTAGTCTGATGTGTGTTTGGTGATTAAGAGCTGGGGGTTGGGAATTACAAGAGATACATATATCCTTAATCCCTCGATATGACAAAAAAATGAATCAACATTTCTTAAAGTTGTAAACAACTGTTTACAACTATTTACAACTATTAACTGTTTACAACTATTTCGCTTTCAGCGCCGCAGGCAAAAATTCTAAAAATTCTGGAGCACAAGAAGCCAGATTTTTTCCATTTTCAGCGGCTCAGGCCAAATTTTGAAAATTTTGGAAGGCCATTGGGCATGATTTCTTCCTTTTTCCCTAATTCTAAGATCAGAACCGAAAATTTCCGGATATCCGGCCTTTTTTCGGATCCGGATCCGCCAACTCTAGTATTTCGGCTTAAAAAATATTTTTAAAATGTACAAAAAGTAGAAAATTAAACAAAATTGTATTTATTAATTAATTTAATTAATAAATTATTTAAATTTTTTAAATTGATTGCTAAAAAATTTTAACAAATTTTTATTTAATTTATTTAAAATTTTAAATAATAAAAGTTAAATTCCTCTCCCGTGAAGTAAAACTCCCGTTTAAATAATACTCCTCTTGTTGTGTATGAGCGACAGTCTTTAAAGAGTTTAGTATAAAAGACAGCCAATAGTTAGCTCGCTCTCTCAGTTTTAGTCCGACTTCCTACCCGAACCTTCATCTTATTGTATTTTCGTGTGTGATAATATAAAAGATTACTGGCGCGGTCAACCAAAGAACCTGATTTTTAGTTCAGGTTTGCCTAGTGATGCTACAGCAGTGCGACAAGTGGCCATGAAAAGTGTTGAAAGTAAAAGAACAGCAGGGCATTCACTGACATTGAAAGGAATAATTGAAGAGTGTAGAGCATTTATGGCAAACAAATGTGAGGCACAGTACATTGTAAAGGAGAAAATTAGTGAAGTAAAACAAGAAGTGCCGGCAGTTAACACAGTGGAAAAAGTCAAGTGTTATGAAAATAGTGAAAGTGAAAATGGAATTGAGTGCAAGAATAAGTGGTTCAAACCAAACGTCAATCAATATCATCACTTCATTCAGAAGAAGTGTAGTCATTGTGGAAAGTTTGGTCATTGGCGGATGTATGTAAGTTTTTGAAAGATAAAGAGAGTCAATGCAAAGTGTCGAAAAAGAAGAGTGGATAAAACAAGACTGGTGGAACATTGATCCACAAAAGAAGAGTGGATCAATGTTGTCACCAAAGAAGTGTGGAATGTGGAATCAAATTGGACAGCCAAAAATTGAAAAAGTGAATTACAAAAGCATTGGGCTGGGTGACAACAATGTGGAAATCGAGGGAAAGTTTAAAATTAAAGTGTAAGTGAAAGAAAAAGAAGTCTGTATGGAGTTCCACCTACTGAACAGTAAAGTGTGTGTTTTAGGTTTGCCTGGATTGAAAGAAGTGTCAGCGTTAAGGCAAAAACCAAAGTGCAAAAAGAAGGCAACCTTCAAGATACAGAAAAATGCGTTCCCGAACGGAACTTAAGTGAAAGTGAAGAACACAAATAAACGAGGTGGGAAAATTGAGTGGCTCCATGGTGAAATAGTGAGAAGGACGGAAAACGCCTTGAAAATCAAAGTGCCAGTGTTAAAAAGTATTGTTACCAGGACGTTTAAAGAAATCCGTCAAGACGAGTGGAATAATAAAAAGAGATTGTTGAATGAAGATATTCAGAAATTGAACTTAGTGAAGAAAAAGTAGTGAGTGAAAGTAGTGTGAGTTCTTCAAGTGTCAATAGTGTGGACAAATCAAATAGAATCAAATCAAATACGAAGTACACCATTGGGAACAAGCCGAAGATGAAAGAATCTAAACAGGATCATAATCAAATGGAGACGTAGATGTGCCAAAAATATAAATATAATTGTGATAATATTGTTGTTGTATTTTTGTTGTAATGTTGTATTTTTTTTGTTCCCATTGTCCTTATTCCCCAAAATTTTGTATGTATTTTTTTGTTTTGTCTGGCTGGAAAAGTGAGTATATTGTAAAGCTTCGGCTTTAAGTGTAAGCCGAACCTTTTTTTCAAAGGGGGAGGTGTTATGTATGAGCGACAGTCCTTAAAGAGTTTAGTATAAAAGACAGCCAAAAGTTAGTTCGCTCTCTCAGTTTTAGTTCGACTTCCTACCGAAACTTCATCTTATTTTATTTTCGTGTGTGATAGACGTTCTGTTATCTTCGTTCTGTTATCTTCTTATTATATCGTAAGCGAGTTCGTAACACCTCTTTGAAATTTAAGTTTTCTTGCGTTAGGTGTTCAATAGTATTTATAAATCACCTATAAAATTTCAGCTTAATAGGACAACCAGAACTTGAAAATCAGAAAAAACTGGGTGGTTTTATAATTTCTTAACATAGCATATTAAATAAGTTGTTTGAACTATTTATTCTTCCTGTATCTAAATATTGTTTGTAACCAATGGGGATGAAAACCATTTGCAGCGTGTGGTTAATTAGATCTTACTGGTCAGGCTAATCCATGATGTCTTCTTCGTCTGTTCCAGACTAATCCTTCCCTCGGCGAAAATATAAATTGCTTAAAAAATTAGAATTTTAATTTATTATTTTAAATTTTTTATATTTTTTCCGCTTATTTTATAGCTCATTCAATTCTCCTTCAGAACAACATATAAGTCTAATTCCATTATTTAAAAGCTTTCTTAAAGATTTAGCGTTTGAAAAATTCCAACACCTCCCATAGTTCAAAATAGCACTCTCTCCATCACTACCTAGTAAGATTGGCGGATAGTTGGAAATCTTCGGATATCCGGATTCGGATCCGAAATTTTTGAATCTCCAACTTTGTTCATCTGGATCCGGAAAAAGTCCAGATATCCCGAATTTCCGGATCGGTTCTGATCCGGAAATTCGGGATCTCCCTAAATTCGCCAATTCTAATTTTTAATGAAAAAATAAAATCGAGGCCTTTTCTTATATGGCGTGCTTTGTAAAATAAAAAGTATAAATTTAAGAGCAGTTAGAAAATTAATTGTAAATTATTTATGAAATTTTGGCTTTAACAAAAGTTACTTGAAATATTTTTAAAAAATATAAACAAATTCCCGAATAAAATTTATGCAAAAAATTGTTAAATGAATTTAAAATAAAATAATTTAAAAAAAACGATCATATAACTGATCAGATTATAAAGATTTAAATAAAAAATAAATAAAAAAAATGAATATAAAATAAATTTAAATAAATGAACGTTATCTTAATGCTAAAGCTGTCCAGGACCGAAAATTTTCTAAGACTCAAGACCAAGACTATGTACACTCCAAGACCCAAGATTTGACCCCAAGACTCAAGCCCAAAAATTAATAAGACACAAGACAATTTTTTGGTCCCATAGGGCAAATCTTTTGTTTATTTTTTGTGCCTTAGACATGAGCATCAAAATTTTGGCAAAAATTTTGCGAAATTTAGAAGGCTAAGAAGCCATATTTCTTCAATTTTAAAAATAAAATAACGAATCCAAAAAGCTCAATTCTTAGGGATGTAAGTCTTGAAAAGCTCAAAAAAGACCTTCTTTCTTTTTCTCACCAAAACCGAAAAAACCAAAGAAAAGTCTTGGAATATAGACTCAAGACCAAGAGTCTCGGACAGCTTTACTTTATGTTGTCTTTAATATAAAGAATTAATGTCATTTAGAAGTCCCTTAGATTTTCCAAAAATGCGAAACTAAAATTTGTCAAGTTCAAAAAAAAACTTGTTTGCTCTATAAATTTCTTCTTTATGATACTATGGTAGTTCACAACGTATTATCAATAGATAACAAAGTTTTCAGATATGGTCATTTATCTGGTCAAAAACATTCCCGGTCCGTTTCTTAACTGTCTGTGAACTACCATATTATCATCGACAAATAGAAAAATAGTTTTTATAAAGGACAGAAAATTACCTAAAAATCAGAACCAAAAAACTTTAATCCACGTAAAAAACCTCAAATCATTCTCAAAATGTCAGCTCGACGACAACCTCATTAATACGAATCAGTAACCTTATCCCACCAGTTAGTCTTGTTATAGAGAATTGGTACTTCCTGACCATTCCTATATTCGAAATAAATGCCTGTCTCAGGCTGATTGTTTCCGCCATGAGCATTTGCTTGCTCTAAATTATTTTTAAAATAAATTTAAAAATAGTATCCGCTTGTAAAAGCTTATCCCAGGGCGGCACCGATCCTTAGAACTCCTTAATATAAAAGCGGGGTTGAAAGATAAGGTTGATTAACCCGAATAAATAAACTCCCAAATCTGTGTGAAATCCGCCAATAAATTCGTTAAAATAAATTAAATATTCAAGTTTTTAATATTTATTAATAACTACTAAATTTATCCTAATAGATAGAGATTGAACATTTATAGAATAAAATTCCAAATATAAGTAATTTGAATCTGACTGGCCAAATCAACCAATCACCCTTACCATAAAATAAAACTAATGGGAACAATAGAAAGAGTTTGCAAAAGTTTAGCCACCGGGCAGGATTCGAACCTGCGACCACCTGCTAGTTGTTGCTAGGCGCTTTCGCTCACTATATGCAGGAGCTCTACCTCTGAGCTACCGGGGCATCGACTAATGCTTTCTCTTTTTCCTTTTTAGATCGTTTATCCCCCGCCTAAGCGTTTTAAATGCTGCTGGGTGAATCATCCTTACATCTCCATCCCTACATCAGACCGGTCCCTCGGTCAAGCGCCATGACCGTGGATCGGCTGGTTCACCCAGCAGCAAGTGGGGATCCCTGTTAGCGGCACCAGAAAGAGTTTGCAAAAGTTTAGCCACCGGGCAGGATTCGAACCTGCGACCACCTGCTAGTTGTTGCTAGGCGCTTTCGCTCACTATATGCAGGAGCTCTACCTCTGAGCTACCGGGGCATCGACTAATGCTTTCTCTTTTTCCTTTTTAGATCGTTTATCCCCCGCCTAAGCGTTTTAAATGCTGCTGGGTGAATCATCCTTACACAATTTACCGTATTTACTCTAATTAAATGAAATCTCTAATTTGATGACACTCTAATTGAATGGCCCTTTTTAACTATTAATTACCTAATCCTTATTTCCCTTTATTAACTAGTTTAATATTCCTTTTTAGTATGATAATTCCGATATTTTTAAGCAGGTCTAGTGTCGAAAAAGTGGTTTTGAGAGGGATATCAAGGGATTTGAGAGGATAATGAGGGATATAGTGAAATTAAAAATATTTGGCGAAGATATTGTGGGATTAAAATGAAATAATTATGAGGTGATATTTAGTAAAGAGTCCGACCGAAATTTTTCAAGACGAGGAATTGAACCCAAGACCTGAAACCAAGACTTAAATCTGAGCCTCAAGACGAATAATTAATTCTCAAGGCAACTTTTCGTCCATGGGATAAATTTTTTGGTGATCAGTCGTATGATAAAGTGATTAGTAAGGATTGAGGGAGATGTGATGGTTTGGAGGGATTATTTCCTTAATTAAGTACCTAGATCAATATTCCTTTTTAGTATAGCCAATGCTACCCTCAAAACTATCAAATCCAACTGTGCAGGAATTTTGATTTATTGCACCGAGTTTAATCAAAATTTGACTCTTTAGCTCCGGATCAAAAAACTTTTGAATAAATATTATAGTGATGTGTAGAGGAAAATTCACTATTAAAATTCTAAAATGCCGAATTTTCCAAAAAAAAATGTTGGTCTAATTGCCAATTTTCCCTATCACCCATCTCAAACTCAACAATCCCAATCTCAATTTCTGACCTATGAAAATTAGAATGACAGTCTCCAATTGAATGGCATCTCTAATTGAATGACACTTTTTTAGGGTATATGAAAAATAGAATGACTGTCATTCTATTAGAGAAAATACGGTATTTGATGTTTAAAAATTATTATTGACAAAAAGTTAAATTATATTTAAATTATTGACTTAAATAACCTAATTATTTAGATTTAAGATT